GCTCCCCATCTTCCTGGCCTAATCGGCAGGGCTCCTACAAAACCTCTCAGCTGGCCCCATTTTCACCCCAACTCCGCTACAAAAGTATGACCAAATCTTTAACCACTGCTTGACATTTGAGACAACCTTGATTGTGGAAAGTGAAGCTGTGGGTGTAGACCAAATCTCTTTATGGCACAGTTTTAGGTTTATGTGACTTAGCAAACCTACACTATGAAGAATGTAGGCAGCTTCTTCAGCTAAATTTGGAGATATATTTCACAAGGATCTCAAGGGGATACCCACAAAATTGGGTTCCACTGGTTAATTGTTCTAACTGTCAGGAAGTTTCTCCTTAGTTCTAGGTTGCTTCTCTTCTTGATTAGTTTCCATCCACTGCTTCTTGTCCTGCCTTCAGGCGCTTTGGAGAAGAGCTTGACTCCCTCTTCTTTGTGGCAGCCCCTGAGATATTGGAACACTGCTATCATGTCCCCCCTCGTCCTTCTCTTCATTAAACTAGACATACCCAATTCCAGCAACCGTTCCTTATATCTTACACAGCTTCTGGAGGCAGATTGTTCCACTGGTTAATTGTTCTAACTGTCAGGAAGTTTCTCCTTAGTTCTAGGTTGCTTCTCTCCTTCATTAGTTTCCATCCATTGCTTCTTGCCATGCCTTCAGGTGCTTTGGAGAATAGCTTGACTCCCTCTTCTTTGGGGCAGCCCCTGAGATATTGGAAGACTGCTATCATGTCCCCCCTCGTCCTTCTTTTCATTAGACTAGACATACCCAATTCCAGCAATCGTTCCTTATATGTTTTAGCCTCCAGTCCCCTGATCAACTTTGTTGCTCTTCTCTGTACTTTATCTAGAGTCTCAACATCTTACTGAACATCTTACTGAAGTCCAAGTAAATTATATCCACAGCATTCCTCTGATCCACTAATTTTGTCACTTGGTCAAAGAATGTAATAAGATTTGTCTGGCATGATCTGTTTTTGACAAACCCATGTTGGTTTTCAGTAATGACTTTGTTTGCCTGTAGGTGTGATGACGTTACCTAGTTGGGTAATGAAACATCTTCAAGAAAACCATCAAGCTCAGAGAGCACCAAGAACCCCACAAAAAGAAGAAACTGTCCTATTAGTGGCACTGTCAGTTCTCATTGTTCAAAGGAACTAGATTAACTATATTTCATTTAAATATAGTCTTCTTTTAAATTGAATCCCGTTTCCTTGGATCTTATAATCACACGCTTCCTGTGGCATGGGAACTTAGAATGCTGAAGCTGTTTTGCATATCATTATGTGATGCGATATGAAATTGCTTGCAGTGGTGATATTAAACAAATTGTAGGAAGTAATGAAGATGACCTTGAAGGAGACATGCGGGAATCTTTAACCAGGCAAAATGCTAAAACACATTTCAAGCCCAGAAGGAGATAACATTCAAAAGAGGCTCTGGTAAACACCTCTTTAATTCACCAAACTTTGAGAAGGAGGAGGACGTACAGCATTAATAATAATAATAATAATAATAATAATAATAATAATAATAATAATAATAATAATAATAATAATAATAATAATAATAAAGTTGGAAGGGACCTTGGAGGTCATCCAATCCAACCCCCTGCTCAGGCAGGAAACCCTATACCTAGTGGTGGGATTCAGCCAGTTCGCACCACTTCAGCAGAACCAGTAGCTAATTTTTTGTTGCCCAGGCCCAGAACCGACTTCCAGAAGTGGCATCCACACAGAGAACTGGTTGTTCACATGTTTGAATCCCACCACTGCTTATACCATTTCAGACAAATGGCTGTCCAGTGTCTTCTTAAAAACTTCCAGTGTTGGAGAATTCACCGCTTCTGGAGGCAGGTTGTTCCGCTGGTTAATTGTTCTAACTGCCAGGAAATTTATCCTTAGTTCTAGGTGGCTTCTCTCCTTGCTTAGTTTCCATCCATCTGTTGCTTCTTGTCCTGCCTTCAGGCGCTTTGGAGAATAGCTTGACTCCCTCTTCTTTGTGGCAGAGATATTGGAACGTTGCTATCATGTCCCCCCTTGTCCTTCTAGACATACCCAATTCTAGCAAACGTTCCTTATATGTTTTAGCCTCCAGTACCCTAATCATCTTTGTTGCACTTTTCTGTACTTTATCTAGAGTCTCAACATCTTTTTTACATTGTAGTGACCAAAACTGTCACTACAGTATTGTAGTGTGGCCTTACCAAGGCATTGTAAAGTGGTATTAATACTTCACGTAATCTTGATTCTATCCCTCTGTTAATGCAGCCTAGCATTGTGTTGGCTTTTTTGGCAGCTGCAGCACACGGCTGTCTCATATTTAAGTGATTGTCCACTAGGACTCCAAGATCCCTCTCAGTTATTACTATTGAGCAAAGTACCATCTATACCAGGGGTAGGCAACCTTGGCTCTTTTATCACTCGTGGACTTCAGCTCCCAGAATTCCTGAGCCAGCCATGCTGGCTCAGGAATTCTGGGAGTTGAAGTCCACGAGTCATAAAAGAGCCAAGGTTGCCTACCCCTGACCTATATTATACCTGTACAGTTGGCTTTTCTTGCCTAACTGTACTTTTTCCACCATTGAATTTCATTTTGTTAGATAGCGCCCAGTGTTCAAGTCTGTCCAGATCCTCCTATATCTTAAGCCTGTCTTCTGGAGTATTGGCCATTCCTGCCAGCTTGGTGTCGTCTGCAAATTTGATGAGTTCCCCATCTATCCCCTGTTCCAAATTGTTGATGAAGATGTTGAAGAGCACTGGGCCCAGAACAGAGCTCTGTAGATGCAGTTCCCTTGAGGACCACACGCTGAGTACGGCCAGTCAGCCAGCTACAAATCCATCTGGTGGTGATGCTGTCTAACCCACATTTTTCTATCTTATCAAGTACTAGGTTGTGGTCTACTTTTATCACATGCCTTACTGAAGTCCAAGTAAATGATATCCACAGCATTCCTCTGGCCGTACTGGTCACCTGGTCAAAGAATGCAATAAGATTCGTCTGGCATGCAAGACAAATGCAATGACATTTGTCTTGCATTAGACTTGCAAGATTCTGGTATGATAAAATAAAAGGTAATGTCTTTCATGTCTGACTCTAGGGGGTGGTGCTCATTTCTGTTTCCTAGCCAAGAAAGCCAGAGTCATCTTAAGATGCTTTTGTAGTCATGTGGCCAGCATGACTATACATCCGAGGTACAGAGAATGCTGCTACCTTCCCATGGAAGTGGTATTTATTTATCTACTTGCATTTGCATGCTTTCGAACTGCTAGGTTGCCAGGACCTGGGGCAAAAATGGGAGCTCACCCAGTCATGTGGTACTTGGGTCTCAAACTTCCAACCTTTCCATCAGCAAACCCACCATTTGAACTGCTAGGCCACCGCTCCCCACTCTGTTGTGATAGCCATTCTCAATAAAAGTAGTTTCAGCTATCCTGTGGAATTGATTTCCTGGTCTGGTCTAATGTAGGAGATGACCAGGCTGAGCCTGAGGGAGGTGTCAAATGTATCATCAGTCATGAGTCCCTGTGCACCCCAAGAGATCTACGTTTAGCTCACTACGAATTCCTTTCTTAACTCCTGCTGTTTTCTTTTGGCCATTAGTAGTTCAGATTCTTGTAGGGAATTAAAGCTTGCAATAAATAAATAAACAAATAAATAAATAAAATAAAAAAAAATAAAAAAAAATAAAAAAATAAAATAAAAAAAAAATAAAATAAAATAATAATAATAATAATAATAATAATAATAATAATAATAATAATAATAATAATAATAAAATTGGAAGGGACCTTGGAGGTCATCTAGTCCAACCCCCTGCTCAGGCAGGAAACCCTATACCATTTTGGACAAATGGCTGTCCAGTCTCTTCTTAAAAACTTCCAGTGTTGGAACATTCACCACTTCTGGAGGCAGGTTGTTCCACTGGTTAATTGTTCTAACTGTCAGGAAGTTTCTCCTTAGTTCTAATAATAATAATAATAATAATAATAATAATAATAATAATAATAATAATAATAATAAAAATTGGAAGAGACCTTGGAGGTCATCGAGTCCAACCCCCTGCTCAGGCAGAAAACCTTACACCATTTCGGACAAATGGCTGTCCAGTCTCTTCTTAAAAACGTCCAGTGTTGGAGCATTCACTGCTTCTGGAGGCAGGTAGTTCCACTGGTTAATTGTGCTTGCTGTCAGGAAATTTCTCCTTAGTTCTAGGTTGCTTCTCTCCTTGATTAGTTTCCACCTGTTGCTTCTTGTCCTGCCTTCAGGCGCTTTGGAAAATAGCTTGACTCCCTCTTCTTTATGGCAGCCCCTGAAATATTGGAACATGGCTATCATGTCCCCCCTCGTCCTTCTCTTCGTTAAACTAGACAGACCCAATTCCAGCAGCCGGAATTGGGTATGTCTTTATACTCATTTGAACTGTCTGAATCTCCTGATTTCCCTGGTGCTTGACATCCCCATACTGAGGTTGATGGTCCTCAACTCATCCGATTCTTTCATCCTTGAAGATCACAAGTCCACTGTGGTCTTTAACGAAGAGGGATTGGTCACCTCGCTGGCATTTTGATCCATTTGCTGATCAGATGACACGATTGTTTTGGGCTTGGTAAACGTAGCATCACGTCACTCCTCCAACTGTACCTGGCATGTAGAATATATTGCCAGATTCTCTTCCCTTCAATTATGCAAATTATGCGAAGATCATCCAAGCATCACCGCTGTTGATCTTATTCTATTATAACAGGTTTGGAGGCAAGCCATTCCTTTCATAATTGAATATGGTGTAAGAAGTGTTGTTTACATTTTTAACATAGGGAGTATAAAAGGCTGAAAAACAGAGTCACCCTCTCTCAGGAAGACAAAATCTACTGGAGAAAGAGATCCAGCTTAGCCAGCTTCAGGTAGAACAAGGGAGATTTTAAAAAAAAAAAGCAAAAAAAAAAAAAAAACATGGAGGAAGTTGGAAAATGGTTGTTTGCTTTGTTCCTGACTGCGGTAATGTTGTATTTCCTGAAACAACTATGGTCCCGCAGAAATTATCCTCCTGGGCCCTTTCCACTTCCATTCATTGGAGTCGCATGGCAGACTGGAATCCGAGTAACTCCGACACTTTTAATCAAGGTACTGTGTCTCCAAACCAGTGATTTAAATCATGATGTTATTTAGCAAAGAGAATATTATTTTCCTGCCAGGTCAGTAAAATTTTCTGGAAGGTAGTGATGGAAACTGGCTTAGCAGAAATGCTTCTTGTTTCATTCTCCAGATGCTGAGCCAATATGATAAAATGGCTCCGTATCCTTAAATCATGATTTAATCATGATTATCTTCCCACCGGTATGTAATGACCCTTCTGCTATTCTACCTGTCTAGCAATAATCAGTTATTTTCTTATAAAATAACAAAATGACTGCCTGCACACTTTGCTATGATTAATGTGTATATTCAAATGGAAGTAAGTTGTGTGTAAACTTAGTTTGTTCAATTTTATCCTGCCATTATGATTTTATAATTTAATAATTTGGTTTAATAAGTTGGTTTTCTATTTTTATGTTGGTTAGCTGGGCAGAGTTCTTTGATTAAGATTGGTGTGCATATAAGTTTGGCAGATTAATAGTAAGATTTACTCTATTATATCTCTCTCAATGAATGAATGAATGAATGAATGAAATACTATTAAAGAATTAAAAACAAGTAAAGACAGATAGCACTATTCAAGGTTGTGTCTGTCATGTGTCTGATTAATCAGACAGACAGTTCTGCATATATTGTCAAAGCAAGAATATTCAATATTAGCAGCGTTGACAGTGTCTTTCATTCTGTTTACTAATCCTTTAATCATAACTAGAACAGTATTACATGATGTTGCATTCAGACTAAAAGCCTAAAGAGATTTTAACACCTCAAGGTGTTTTCTTTTCATGTAACTTAATTGTTCATTTGGCCCTCACTGTTCCAGTATTTCTCTCAGAAAATACAGAAATAAATTTACATTATGCTTAAATTGTGGACCAGTGCAAGGATTCTTTTTGTAGGAACAGATTTTTAAGGGTTTTTTTTAAAGTTCTTTCTTATGTACAAGAAATAAGTAGTTAAAAATGAAGTACAGAATACAAAATACAAGTGGATAAATAGCAAATCTGAAATTTCATGATACTAATATATCCAAATTTCATTATCAGAAGTTTATAGCATTTTTATACCCATTTGCCAGTGAAAATGCAGTATCCCTATTGAAGTTTAAACAAAAAAAATATTGGTTAACAATTATTCAAATGATTAAAACCAGAAGTAGTAAACAATGCGCTCTACCGAGTCTATTAATTATACAGTGTTAAAATATAAGCTTTAAAAGCAAATTTGGGGTATGACACAATTCCATGCTTAATATTATGAAAGTTTCCATTCAAACTTAAATTCTGAGTTAGATTCACTTTTTAAATTCAAAATTAGAATTAACAGAATAACAAATTTGGAAGGAACCTTGGAGGTCTTCTAGTCCAACCCCTGCTCAGGCAAGAAACCCTATATCATTTCACACAAATGGTTGTCCAATCTCTTCTTAAAAACATCCCGTGTTGGAGCACCCACAACTTCTGGAGGCAAGTCGTTCCACTGATTAATTGTTCTCACTGTCAGGAAACTTCTCCTTAGTTCTAGTTCGCTTCTCTCCTTGGTTAGTTTCCATCACACTATTGTAGGCAGTGGGGCACATGCCTACAATTTGGTTAGCTATTTTTCTAAAAAGGGAATCAAAGGTCTTTTCCAATAAAAGGAATGTAAACTCCTTGCTTCCTGTAGCATAAACAGTGATCATTTAACAGTGATATTTTGAAAGAGTGTATGATTTGATAAAACTTAATAAAAACATCTCAGATTGCAATAGGATGGCATCATCAGGCTAGGAACATCAACAGTAAAGATGTAATTTTCTGATGGTTTATCTATAGCAGCCTGTCCTGCCTATCTTGATTTCTTCCTTAATAATTTCTTGATTGTTCCTTCCCTGATTGTTTATACGGTGCTATTTACTGCAAGCAAACATTCAGGCCTAACGAAACAATAGGGTGCCATTATAGGTAATCTCAATTACAACCATTCAATTAGTGACTGTTCAAAGCTACAACGACACTGAAAAAAGTGACATATGACTAGTCCTTGCGCATACGACCATCATAGCATACCCACAGACACACCAAAATTTTAGTGCTTGGTAACTGATGTGTATTGATGACAATTGCAATGTCCCGGGTCATTGATAGCCATTTATATATTCCCAGCCGGTTTCCAACAAGCAAAATCAATGGGCAAAGCTGGATTGGCTTAATGACTGCATGGTTATGTTTTAGTGGGGGCTTTGTATGGGGTATTTTTAGAGCAGGCCTGTTATTTAATTTGATTTTAGACAGAAATTTGTGTATATTTATTGTGGTTTTTATTATCGCCTGTTCACCGCCCTGAGTCCCGTCAGGGAGATAGGGCGGTATATAAATTCAATAAATAAATAATAATAATAATAATAATAATGGTTCACTTAACAGGCCAGGAGAGTGGGGACATGCCTCACCTCGGGGTGTGGGGGGGGGAGAGAAGTGTACCAGAGAGTAGAGGTAATGGCAAAGAAGGTCCTCTTCATGGACCCACCAGTCGTAATTCTTTAACTGATGGTATCCACAACCTACCTCCCCCCCCGACCAGGTAGGACAGGCTAATGTAATGGGGAAGACATGGTTCCACAGGTAACCTGGCCTCCTGCTAGATAGGCATTTTGCACACCTCTGATCCAATTCTGCAGCTCTGGAAAAGACTTCATTTGTGCAGTGATTTGTAATCAGCAACCAGGACTGAACGCAGCGGTGGGATTCAAATATGCGAACAACCGGTTCTCTGCGTGGATGCCGCTTCCGGAAGTCCATTTTCTGGGCCATTCTGGGCAACAAAAAATTAGCTATCGGTTCTGCCGAAGTAGTGCGAGCCGGCTGAATCCCACGGCTGGCTGAATGTCATATTTTCATTTTCTGTTTTGATTCAAATGGCAGCTGGCTAAGCGATATGGAAACATCTACACAATATGGTCGGGACACATGGCTGTAGTGGTCTTCTCTGGATTTCAGGCAGTCAAAGAAGCCCTCATTCAAACTGAAGATTTTGCTGAGCGACAAATGACTCCCTTTTTTAAAGAGGCCTTTAAAAACAAGGGTAAGTTTTCACGAAGCTTAAGGGGTAATTTATCTGGTAAAATAGAGAATTTTCAGATTGAGATAGATGATATATATCAGTGGTGGCGAACCTATGGCACGCGTGCCAGAGGCGGCACTCAGAGCTCTATCTGTGGGCACACGTGCCATGCCCCGGAGATGGCAACCGTCCCTCTTCAACCAGCTGCCCACTAACTGGCTGAGGTCCCACATGGCCGGATGCATCCCAGCACCCATGCGCTTGCTGGCCTCTGTGTGCAGGGGCCAATGGTGTCAGGCAGCAGCCACCCCAGCCCCTGCCTCACCTTTCCCTGTGACAATGGCACCCCCACCCTGCCTCACCTTGCCTCACCTCACCCCGCAGGATGAGCCTCCTGCCCATTGCCCCATCTGCCAGAGACCCCCTGAGGAGACCCCCTGAGGAGATCTTCAACCCTGCCCGGCCCCCACAGACGTCCCTCCCCACAAGCAACATTGAGGTGATCACACCCTCATTGGCCACACCCACCCAATCTGCCATGACCACCACAGCCACGCCCATCCAGTGGGCCATGCCCACCTGGCACCCGGCGATAAATAAGTAGGTTTTGGGTTGCAGTTTGGGCACTCAATCTCTAAAAGGTTCGCCATCACTGATATATATTATAAAATAAATAAGAGAGAGAGAGAAAGAAAGAAAGAAAGAAAGAAAGAAAGAGAAAGAAAGAAAGAAGAAGAAGAAGAAGAGAGAGAGAGAGAGAGAGGAGAGAGAGAGAGAGAGAGAGAGAGAGAGAGAGAGAGAGAGAGAGAGAGAGAGAGAGAGAGAGAGAGAGAGAGAGGAGCACTGAGAAATCAAATTGCAAATTCTCATCACTATGTCATCACAAAGAAGAGGGGATCAATCTATTCTCCAAAGCAGGACAAGAAGCAAAACTCGTTTTCGGGGAGGGAAAAAAATGAAATAGTGTTGTAGACTTTTGGTTTCTCTGCCGCTGTTCAATATAATCCACAAGATTTCAGAGCAGATCTAGTCTTATTCTGGCAGTCCCACTTGTACCAGGCAGAAGCTGATTTTGCATCACTGATCCTGTTTTTCGCTGGAAAAAAAAAAAAGGGATCTCCGAGATGGCCAAGTAGAATTTGCACGAGAACACACTTTATCTAAGCCAGGGGAATTCTGGGACTTGAAGTCCACAAGTCTTGACGTTGCCAAGGTTGCAGACTCCTTGATCTAAGCTACCTAACAATATTTTAGTGATAATTTTTGTGAGCATAATGACTCACTGATTTCTGATGGCTTCAGGTATTATATTTTCAAATGGTCAAAACTGGAAGCAACAAAGACGGTTTGGCCTAATCACTATGCGGAAACTTGGACTTGGGAAGAAAGGCATGGAGAATCGAATAGAAGAGGAGGCCCATCGGTTGGTGAAAATCTTTGCACGTGCAAAAGGTATGTTGTCTACAATCTCTGCATGCTTCAGAATGATATATCTGGTGTTTCATTAATACAGAATACAGAATACCAGAGTTGGAAGGGACGTTAGAGGTCTTCTAGTCCAAACTCCGGCTCAAGCAGGAGACTCTATAGCAGGGCTTTTCAACCTTTTCACCCATTGTCCCACTTTTGGGATATGGCAACATCCGAGTACCACGTTGCCTAGCCAGGTTTCAAAAACTTGATGACCCCCCCAAAAAAGGAAAAAAGTGATGAAGTACAGGTAGTCCTCAACTTATAACAGTTCGCTTAGTGACTGTTCGAAGTTAAAATGTCACTGAAAAAAGTGCCCCCCAAGGCACAGCCAAGCAAGATACCTGCCTGCCTGCCCGGCAGCGATCTTCCTCCTGTCTGAGGTTTTCATTGTTGTGAGGATTTCTGTTGAGGATTGGCAGCGGGGGTGCGGTGAGGGGGTGTTTGGTTTTTATTCTCCCCATCTGCTGGGTGGTTGCAGCAGGCTTTGGTCATTTCACATGACCCTGGGACACTGTGACCATCATAAATATGAATCAGTTGCCAAGAATCTGAATGTAAATCACAAGATCCTGGAGATGCTGCAACATTCCAGCTGATCGGCGCTTCTTCTGGGCTCAGCAGCAGTGCCAGGATCAGCGCTGAGCTCCATCTGGAGCCTGGCGCTTCCACTGAGCCCTGACAGCCCCGAAGAAGCGCTGATCCTGGCGCTTCCGCTGAGCCCTGACAGCCCTGCAGCTCCAGCCATCTCTCACTCAGGCTTGTGCGGTGCTGCCACCGATTCAGCTCATTCCAATCCCCCGCTACCACTTTTCTAGGATGGTCGCGTACCACCTGCCAGGTGCCAATGTACCACAGGTGGTACCCGTACCACTGGTTGAAAAGCCTTGCTCTATACCACTCCAGACAAGTGGCTGTCCTGTTTCTTCTTAAAAGCCTCCAGTGTTGGAACACTTTTGGAGGCAAGTCGTTCCACTGATTAATCGTTCTAACTGTCAGGAAGTTTCTCCTTAGTTCTATGTTGCTTCTCTCCTTGATTAGTTTCCATCCATTGCCCCTTGTCCTGCCTTCAGGTGCTTTGGAGAACAGCTTCACCCCCTTGTCATGGTTCCAACTAATGAAACACTTCAAAGAACTTCCAGGCAATGTTTACCCTAAAAGCCTTTATTAACAGTGTAACAGTTACTTCTTTCTGGCAGCCCCTGAGATATTGGAACACTGCTGTCAGGTCTCCCCTAGTCCTTCTTTTCATTAGAGTAGACCAGTGATGGCGAACCTTTTAGAGACCTAGTGCCCCAAAACCGCCCTGACCCCCGTTCCACCCCTGACCCCGCTCCATCCCCCAGCCCTGCCCCCGCTATGCCCCTGCCTCACCTCCCGCAGGGCCATCCACCGCCTCCACGGCCCACCGTAGCAGATTGCCCAGGCGGCCCAGCAGCGTCATGGCGGCCACGCCCTCCGCCCGCACCCCATAGTATCATCTACACATGATGGGGTGCGAGGGTGGAATCTTGTCCCTGCTGCCATGTGCTTGGCTGTGCTGCTCCATGCGGGCCATGCCCAGGGGCGACTCTCGTCCGCGGAGCTGCTGGTGAGGAGGGGGCCATGGGGGAGGCAGGGCTAGGGCGACAGCACACGTGCCCACTGAGAGGGCTCCAAGTGCCGCCTCTGGCACGCATGCCATAGGTTTGCCACCACTGGACTAGACGTACCCAGTTCCTACAACCGTTCTTCATGTGCTTTAGCCTCCAATCCTCTAATCATTTTTGTTGCTCTTCTTTGCACTCTTTCCAGAGTATCAACATCTTTTTTATATTGATGCTTTATATCGAAGCTTTTTTTTTTCTAATCAAGGTTGATCCTTTCCATGTTCCTCCTGACCACGTGAACTGTGTCCCAACTGAATGCAAGGCCTATAGCAGGGGAATGTCTTATTCTACCAGACCAAAACAAGAGTCAGCAATTTCACTGTATCAGTCCCTATTTTGATAACCTAACTGTCCCGTGGCCCATTTTTTTTCTAGCCTTTCAATGAAAGAGCCCTCTGCAGGGTCTCCTACTAACCAAATGGTTAATAATAAGTGTTGCTTGATGGGTTCCCAACTACAGGTAGTCCTTGATTTACAACCATTGGTTTAGTAAGTATTCAAAGTTATAATGGCACTGAAAAAAATGACTTACAACGAGCCTTCACACTTAACAACAGTCACAACCTCCCCACGGTCACGTGATCAGAATTGGGACGCTTGGCAACCAATATGCATTTATAACAGTTGCCGTGTCCCAGGGTCTTGTGATCATCCTTTGTGGCCTTCCCATTGGGCTTCTGACAAGCAACGTCAATGGGGGAAACTGGATTGACTTAATGGCTTTATGATTCACTTAACAATTGCAGTGATTTGCTTAACAATTGTGGCCAAATCGGCCGAGAGTCACTTAACAACTCCTTGCTTAGCAATGGGAATTCTGATCACAACTCTGTACAATTGTGTACAGGTACGATGTGTGCTGCCTGCCTTTTGTCCTGAAATCCAACTGACAATATAAATAGTTAAAATCAGAATAATATCAGTCTGATGGTGATTTTTTTATTTATTTCCAGAACAGCCACTGGATCCTTCTTTGCCTGTCACCACTGCAATCTCCAATTTGATTTGCTTTATGGTTTTTGGATACAGATTTTCTGCCAAAGATGAAAAGTTCCAGAAAATGTTAATAAACTTGAATTGCTATATGAAATTTGGAGGCAGCTTTATTTACCTGGTGAGTTGTCTTCTAGAGACCCTGACTCCATCCTCCATCCTCTTGCTGATGATTTTTTTTTATTATAAAGATTCATTTATCAATGTAAGCAAAAGAGGCCAGGGCTTTAAAAAGAGTTTTAGCTGTGGAGGGCTACTACAGGGTATCAGGAAGGCAGCTTTTTCAAGAACTCGCTGAGCCCTCCATGCACACCTCTTCAGGTCTCATCAATTTCCTGACAGTTAGAGCAGTTAATCAGTGGGATGACTTGTCTTCAGAAATTGGGATCTATGACAATTTTCCACAGCCAACTTGCCATGGGACAACTTGCTGCGGGACAAGTGTTACACTAATATCAAAGAAATGTAAAATGTAAAAAAGATGCTGAGACTCTAGAAAGAGTGCAGAGAAGAGCAACAAAGATGATTAAAGGATTGGAAGCTAAAACTTACAAGGAACGGTTGCTGGAATTGGGCATGTCTAGTTTAATGAAGAGAAGGACGTAGGGGGGACATGATAGCAGTGTTCCAATATCTCAGGGGCTGCCACAAAGAAGAGGGAGTCAAGCTATTCTCCAAGGCGCCTGAAGGCAGGACGAGAAGCAACAGATGGATGGAAACTAATCAAGGAGAGAAGCAACCTAGAACTAAGGAGAAACTTCCTGACAGTTAGAACAATTAACCAGTGGAACAACCTGCCTCCAGAAGCGGTGAATGCTCCAACTCTGGAAGTTTTTAAAAAGAGACTGGACAGCCATTTGTCTGAAATGGTGTAGGGTTCCTGCCTGAGCAGGGGGTTGGACTCGATGACCTCCAAGGTCCCTTCCAACTTTATTATTATTATTATTAGTTAGTTACCACCTTTAAAGCGCTCCATGGCATAGGACCTGGCTATCTCCGAGACCGCCTTCTGCCACAGATTCCCTCCCATAGACCGGTACGCTCCCACAGAGTGGGTCTCCTCAGGGTGCCGTCGGCCAAGCAATGTCGGCTGGCGACCCCCAGGGGGAGCCGGAAGAGACACCCACGGGGACGGGAGACCTTGCTTCTACCCCCCGAGATCCGGACGATTCCGGATCTCCTTACTTTCCGCCGCGCCCTCAAGACATGGCTTTTCCAACAAGCGGGCCTGGCCTAGGGAGGATTTTAAATTGGGTTTATTTTTTAGAAAATTTTAAACACCACAACTTTAAAATATTTGGTTTTAATTTGGTTTTATTTGGCGGGGATTGTGGGTATGTTTTTGTTTTAAATATGTTGTGAGCCGCCCTGAGTCCCGTCGGGAGAAGGGCGGGATATAAATCAAATAAAATGAAAAAATGAAAATTATTACTATTATTATTATTATTATTATTATTATTATTATTATTATTATTATTATTATCATCATCATCATCATCATCATCATCATCATTATAATATTATCAAAATGGTAAACTCAAATAATTGGCTGATGATGTCATTGTGATAGAATTTCACCCCCTGTCTTTCCTTTAGCTGTATGAATTGTTTCCATGGTTGATGAAACATCTTCCTGGGCGTCACCAGAGAGTGTTCCGTGCTTTAAACGATGTCATCTCGTTTGCCAAGGAAGAGGTAGAGAAGCACAGGGAACTTCAGTCACTGCACGACCCCCAGGATTTCATTGATTACTACCTTCTTGAGATGGACAAGGTAAGTGTTGGGCACCCTGGAAAGAAATTTTCTTGTGGGTCTTCAGAACTCAGAAGGGCATCCTACTTTGCTAAGGACAGCATACCGAGCAATCTTGCTGCGTTGTTCACATGTACAGGTACTCCTTGATATACAACCATCTGCTTAGTGACCGTTTGAAGTTACAACGGCACTGAAAAAAGTGACCTATGACCATTTTTTCACCCTTCAGCCATTGCAACAGCCCCATGGTCACGTGATCAAAATCCAGATGCTTGGCAACTGACTTGTATTCATGACAGTTGCAGTGTCCCGGGGGTGGTGGTCATGTAATATTGTGACCTTCTGACAAGCAAAGTCAATGGGGAAGTCAGATTCACTTAACAGTCATGTCACTAACTTAACAACTGCTAGTGATTCACTTAACAACTGGGGCAAGGAAGGTCGTACAACGGGGCAAAAACTCACTTAACAACTGTCTCGCTTAGCAGTGTAAATTTTGGGCTCAACTGTGGCCATTCTTTTCTCCACCTACTGATGCTTGAAGCAGGTTGCCAGAAACCTGCAGGCCTATGTTGATTAATTAAGTAGACATTTTGTCTGCAAATATCAGTTATCTGAGAAGTCAGATGAAATGAGTGCAATTCAATAGGGATATCTGCAGTGCCAGCAAGAGATTTCATTTATTTATTTATTCAGTTTATACACCGCCCATTTTACCTAGGCTTACAATCTATAAAACGCTACTATGAAATATTAAAACAATAAATGTTGTTAATTGCAAAGTCATGTCCAACCCATCACGACCCCTTGGACAACGTTCCTCCAGGCCTTCCTGTCCTCTACCATCTTCTGGAGTCCATTTAAACTCATGCCTCCTGCTTCAGGGACTCCATCCAGCCACCTCCTTCTCTGGCGTCCCCTTCTTCTCTTGCCCTCCATCTTTCCCAGCATTAGGCTCTTCTCCAGGGAGTCCTTCCTTCTCATTAGGTGGCCAAAGTACTTGAGTTTCAACTTCAGGATCTGGCCTTCTAAAGAGCAGTCGGGGTTGATCTCCTCTAGGACTGACCGGTTTGATCACCTTGCAGTCCAGGGACTCACAGGAGTCTTCTCCAGCAGCATAGCTAAATTTGGTTTAAAATTGACAAAGCTGGGAAGGAAGGGTGCAAGGTACATACAGGAGGAGGGGGAGAGGGGGGTGTCGTATGTTAGTCCATTAGCCACCTTCAGAATGCCCTGCCTTATTGGGGCCCCAGGCCAGTTGGCAGTGCCTGGCCTTCGGGCCCTTTTTGAAACCCATTTTTATACGCATCCAATAATATTTGCATTTAGATTGCTCCTAATCACTTTCTCCTATGTCCGTGGTGGCGAACCTGTGGCACGCGTGCCACAGGTGGCACGCAGACCCCTCTCTGTGGGCACGCGCGCTGTTGCCCCAGTCCTAGGCCTTCAGCTGGGTTTTATAAAACCTTCTCGCTTTAGGCCTCCGTGCCCGTGTGCAAAAAAAAAAAAAAAAAACAGGTTCAATCAATCAATCAATTTCAACTTCTCGTGGGAAAAAAAAAGATCTCACAAAGTTGGAATTGATTGATTGAACTTTTTAGTCCCATCCAGTCTGCCATTACCACTGCAGCCACGTCCACCCAATGGGCCATGCCCAGCCAATGGGCCACACTCACCCAGTGGGCCACACCCACCCAATGGGCCACATTCACCCAGTGGGCCACACCCAACCAATGGGCCATGCCCACCTAATGGGCCACACTCACCCAGTGGGCCACACCCAACCAATGGGCCACGCCCACCTAGCACTCGACCATACATAAGTGGGTTTTGGGTTGCAGTTTGGGCACTCGGTCTCTAAAAGGTTCGCCATCACTGCCCTATGTAACAGAATGAAAAGATCTAGTGTGCTGTAGCTTTTCGTACCTTGAGTCCTGAAGAATATGATGGGAATTTTCTAGCATGTGAAAGTCATCAAGCTGGGTGTCATGTGTCTGACTAATGAAACACTTCAAAGAACTTTCAGGCATGATTTAACCTAAAAAGCCTTTTATTAGTGTAGACCGGTGTCAGCACGGCATGGTGGATGCCAAGATCTGAATTTCTCTTCCTTTGCGCATAACATTCCAGGCATTTCCCCTCCCCTATTTTGGGGTCATGATTCACATCTTCCAATTAACTTGGAGGGCAAAGATTCACTTCCGTTTCTTTTCCCGGGCTTTCCTTATAATTCTCCCCCCCTTTCTCTGTCATCTGAATTAACTCTAAAAATACCAGACAGTTCTGCATATTTTGTCAAAGCAAGAATATTCAATATTAGCAGCGTTGACACTGGGATGACTCAGTCTAATGTATTCTGCTCAAGGATGCTAGTATGATGTAATCCAGGTAGCCCTCGACTTACAGCCATTTGCTGAACGACAATTTGAAGTTACAACAGCACTGAAAAAAGTGATTTATGACCTTTTTTTCCCACGCATGCAACCACTGCAGCATCCCTGTGGTCACATGATCAAAATTCAGACACGTGGCAACTGGTTCATACTTATGACGGTCGCAGTGTCTCCCCGGGATCATGAGATTCCGTTTTGCGGCTTCCTGACAAGCAAAGCCCGTGGGGAAAACCAGATCCACTTAACAACCATGTCACTAATTTAACAACTGCAACGTCAATGGGGAGGAGGTCGGATTTGCTTTAAGGAGTGCGTGATTCGCTTAAGAGCTACAGTGGTTTGCTTAGCTATTTAATGGAACTGAAGGCAAAGCAAGGGAGGGTTTAAAGATGGTTAACTAAATTAAATATCCTTTATAAAGTCGGGTTTTGACTTACTTTACAACCGCCTTGCTTATCAATTCTGGCCCCAGTTGTGGTTGTAAGTTGAGGACTACCTGTGAAAGGTGTCTTCTACACAAGGAGGACCGACACAGCAGTACGTGATGAATTGGGATTGTTATCAACTAAAGTATAAAAGATAATAGATGTTGTCTCGTTTCCACTGGGACTGAGACGAATACTACTTCTCTTGGATCGAGTCACGTAACAACTAAAAAAATAGCGTCCCTGTCTCTGGTGCCGGTGGTGGAACGTTACCCGTGACGATGAGTACCACCGAATGGGCCTCCAGGTTCCACTCTGAGCATCTAATGTGCCCGATGGAAGGCCTCCTGAAACTGATGGTTGCTTTTATTTCAGCGACAGATTCCAAGACTTCCTGCTTGAGTGGATGAGGAATAATTGCTCATCTCTAACAAGGAACTATAAAGAGGACATTCAAAACCCATAAAAAATGCTATTTAATGGAACTGAAGGCAAAGTGAGGGAGGGTTTAAAGATGGTTAACTAAATTAAATATCTAGAACTAAGGAGAAATTTCCTGTTAGAACAATTAATTGGTGGAACAACCTGCCTCCAGAAGCTGTGAATGCTGCAACACTGGAAGTTTTTAAGAAGAGACTGGACAGCCATTTAGTATAGGGTATACTAGGTCTCCTGCCTGAGCAGGGGGTTGGAGTAGATGACCTCTAAGGTCCCTTCCAACTCTATTCTATTCTATTCTATTCTATTCTATTCTATTCTATTCTATTCTATTCCATTCCATTCCTTTCCATTCCATTCCATTCCATTCTATTCTATTCTATTCTATTCCATTCCATTCCATTCCATTCCTTTCTATTTCTTATTCTATTGTGTGCTATTGTGTGCTATTCTATTCTATTCTATTCTATTCTATTCTATTCTATTCTATTCTATTCTATTCTATTCTATTCTATTCTATTCTTTATATATTTGATATGAATATGTATTTTTTCCTGTTTCCCCCCCTCCTACATCAGATTTTTCTCTCGTTCTCATAACAATTGGGCTACCCAATCTGAGCTGTCAAAATCCAAATCCGTACAGGATGGTCATCACCGTACTCTTTGCTGCCATCTATTGGTTGTCTGGATTTTGCAGCCCAAATATATGGCGGCCCTTCATAAGAGTAAACACACAGAACATGGATCCTAGAATTTTTTCCAAGTCATGACATCAGTTCCATGGCAACTCAAACATCATGTGATCATGTGACTGTGGCTTTTTTTGCTGGTTTCCAACATTTTTTGCAAAAAAAAAAAAAATAGATTTAGGAATTGAAGTCCACTTATCTAGAAACTCCCCAGGGATAGGCCAAAAAAGGTGCTTTTTCAAAGGGCAACTAGTCTTTCTTTGTTTTTCCTTGAAGATGTTTTGCTTCTCATCCAAGAAACTTCTTCAGTTCTACCTCATCCAAGAAGCTTCTTCAGTCACAACTGAAGAAGCCTCTTGGATGAGAAGCGAAACATCTTCAAGGAAAAATAAAGAAAGTCTAATTGCCTTTTGAAAAAGTACTGTGGGAAGTCAGCCCCCCAGAGAAGGAAATATTAAAGAGGCAGAAAAGCATGTCCAGTTTTCTTAATAGCCCTAAGTCTCCCTCCCCCAAGCAGAAACCAGCTCTGTAGAAATGCAGATGTAAATAATCCAGGAAGGTTGAAGCTAGAAGATTAAGAAGACAAAGACACCTAAAATCTACATACCCCACCCAAACTCTAAGACAGGACATAATAGGATTAAACCACAGATGCCAAAGGGCACACTCAGACTCAGGTCAAAGTTCATGCCACAGGAACAACTCCAAACAAAAGGCTCCCGAGGGTATAAAAACCCACTCCTTACATGTGCTCCCTCTCTCTTCTTCCAAAGCCATCTTTTTGTCTGGCTCTCCTCTTCAATAAACTGCAACCTTCTTTCTAAAGCAGTCACCATGTTGGTTATTCCCAGCTTGGACTGAACCATGATGAAGACTTTTCCTTCAACAGTACCTTTGGGTCAACTATGACCTGGATGACTGGGAATTTCCATAGACGTTCCCAAGGGGTAGATCCACCACCTTATGCTTTGTCATCATAGCTCAGTTCTTACTCAGATTCTTTGTGAATTATGTTCCATGTTCTTCATTGACTGCATCAATTGTAGTGGAGTATCTGAGATACTTTAAGATGAGATTGGACAATCATTTGTCTGAAATGGTATAGAGACTCCTGCCTGCGTAGGGGGTTGGACTAGATGACCTCCAAGGTCCCTTCCAACTTTATCATCATCATCATCATCATCATCATCATCATCATCATCATCATCATTATTATTATTACTTCCAAGGCCCTTTTCAGTTCCGTTCCTCTGTTATTCTGTTATAATTTTTCTTTTCTATTATGGCCTTCAGAGAAAGTCCGCAAGGAAATAGAAGATACATTGGATCCCACCCATTCAATCTGCTATCAAGATCGGGTGAAACTCCCGTATACCTATGCTGTGATTCATGAGGTTCTCCGTCTGAAATATGTCTTAATTGTTGGTGTCCCCAGGCAAAGTGCCAGAGATGTGAACCTCTATGGATATCATATTCCAAAGGTACGGGAGTTGATACAAGAACAATCAACATATCAGAGGACACTTTCTTTAATAAGGAATTCAGTGCAATGGACATGTTGAAAGTTGAAACCCTCTTTTTTTTAAATCTGAAAGTCAAGAAATTCATGTATTGAATGCAAGTAATGATTCAGTTGCTGGGAAACATAAGCCAAAAGATTGACCTCTGTTTTCAATAACTTGAAAAAACTTTATTGCAGTCATTAACCAGCACAGTTTTTCAGTAATATACTCTGACATTTTAGTGATCGGGATTAACTGAAACCTGCTTCATTATTCGATGAGAGCGGCATTAGATTAATTTAACTTGGTTATTGACTTAATCCATTTTCTGTGTTTTACAATTCCTTTCACCACAAGTGACAAAACAGGCTAGGTTTCCATACCACTCTAAGAATCGCCAAATCTAACCAAAGTTAAGGCAGACTATTGCATGTGGTGTGAATGGGGCTACTAAGCCTGTAGCTCAGTGGTTCTCAACCTGTAGGTCGGGACCCCATTTGGGGTCGATCGACCATTTCACGGGGGTTGCCAAGGAAGGCTGTCCACCATTTTTTTGTCCGCCATTTTTTTTGTCTGCCATTTTTTCCCCTTTTCCGGCAGGTGCCTTACCTCCCTTGGGCTGGGCCAGCTGGTGGTCGGCCTGCTCCGTCTCTGCCACTTGCCAGCTGCGCCTTGGCCAGCGCAGGGGGCGGAACCACGCATGCGCGGCGCTCCCGGGCAGGGAAAGTCTTCGACTTATGACCGGTTTAGTCCTCGACTTACGACCGGTTGGGGTCGCGGCATTAAAAAGGTTGAGAACCACTGCTGTAGCTGATCTGGTTAAATGCTTTGTATGAACACCGTTCATGAGATGTTGTGGTTAGTACAAATGCTCTTCATAGGAGAATTCCAGTTCTCTGCAGGTTGCTACTCCTGTGTTCCTCCTTTGCACAAAAAACATCATTTTTTTCCATGTAAAAATGGTGAATAATGGATTTTCAGCTGACTCTCAAGGAACAAACCTTGAAATGGGAATAGGAATGCAGGAACTGGTTTAGCTTACATTTTAATCAAGTTGGCAGTAGGAGATAGCTATTATCTTTTTTATATAATTAGGGGAAATTTGCTAGGAAGAGACCCAATTTGATCTAGTGGTGAAGGCACTTGGTTAGAAATTTGGAAACTATGAGTTCTACTGCCACCTTGGACCTGAAAGCCAGCTGGGTGATTTTGGGTCAATCACCAGGAGACTGTGAATTCTAGTCCCGCCTTAGGCATGAAAGTTGCCTCAATGGCTTTGGGCCAATTACCAGGAGACTGTGAATTCTAGTCCCACCTTAGGTATCAGCTGGGCAACTTTGATACAGTCATTCTTTCTCAGCTCAACCCACCTCACAGGGAAAATAGGAGGAAGACGGAGTATTCTACATGTTCCCAGCCTTGGATTATTTATAAAAATAAATAAATAAAGGTGGGATGGAAATAAATAAATTAGGAGGCTCTTAGAAACTTCATCACCTGTGTACTGAGATGCATTTCTTCCTCCTTCAGGGGACTTTGGTTGTTACAGATCTGAACTCGGTGCTTTATGATCCCAAGAGATGGGAAACTCCTGAACAATTCAACCCGCACCATTTTTTGGACAAGGATGGACATTTTGTACCAAGGGAAGAATTTTTGCCATTTGGAGCAGGTAAATCTGAAGCACGTTTTCCAGAATATTTAGATAGATAGATAGATAGATAGATAGATAGATAGATAGATAGATAGATGGATGGATGGATGGATGGATGGATGGATGGATGGATGGATGGATGGATGGATGGATGGATAGATGGATAGATAGATAGATAGATAGAGATAGATAGATAGATAGATAGATAGATAGATAGATATAGATGTATAGATAGATAGATAGATAGATAGATAGATAGATAGATAGATAGATAGATAGATAGATAGATAGATAGATAGATAGATAGATAGATAACCTTTATTGCCATTTTTTCCTGTGGGCACAACGGCACACATTAAAAATGAAATTTAGTTGCTTCCTCTCAAAATGTACACATACATAAACACACATTTAATATATAATACGAATCAAATCCCTTGGTTAGGACTGAAACTAGAAGCGTTGGCGAATAACTGTCAATCACTTCTAACCACTTCTCCTTTCCTTATCTTTGCACTGCAGGGCCTCGGGTGTGCCTGGGTGAGCAAATGGCGAGGATGGAGCTCTTCCTTTTCTTGACCATCCTGTTGAAGTCCTTTAAGTTTCAGCTGCCAGAAGGAGCCAAAGAACTCAGTCTGGAACCCATTATGGGATTATCGTTGCACCCTCATCCTTACAAACTTTGTGCTGTTCCTTACTGTAGGACCCCGTAAAATCAAGATAATTGCTGTCAGTTTGCATATTGGCCTTTACCTCTAGACTGAAATTCTACTCTGAGAGCATTGCTCGGATTTGCTTGTCCTAGAAGTTTCTCAGAACATTAAGAAATGTCCCTAACCCTTACCATTTGTTTTATTTTCATGCTGTTCTTTCTCCTGAAAGAGATGAGACTGGTATACAAAACATGGTAAATACAATCTGCTGTAAAACTATCACAGTTAAGTCATAAACAATAATGCGAAATCGTACAGAACAAGCAAAAAAAAAAGGAACAGAACAATGGGAATTCTGCAATTTAGTAAACGGGCCACTGGTCCCACGGGGGCCATTGTTGCTCTGCTAGTGCACAGGTGAAAACCATGTTTTTAATGATGTTTAAAACAAGACAGAAGTAATCCTAGACTTACGAGTACAATTGTGCACAAAATTTCTGTTTGTGAGTTTTGCCCCATTTTACGACCTTTCTTGCCAAGGTTGTTAAGTGATCTTTGCAGTGGTTAAGTCAGTAATATGGTGGTTAAGCGAATCTGGCTTCCCTGTTGACTTTACTTGTCAGAAGGTTGCAAAAGGGGATCCCATGACATGGGGACGCTGCAAACGTCATAAATATGAACCAAGTTTGCCAAGCGTCCAAATTTTGATCACGTGACCATGAGGATGCTGTAACGGTTGTAAGTGTGAAAAACAGATATACTGTAAGTTGCTTTTTTTCAGTGCCGTTGTAACTTCAAATGGTCACTAAATGAACAGTTGTAAGTCAAGGGCTACCTGTGTTTCTGGAGACCACTTGCCTTCATCCAGAAGAGGAATCCATAACTATGGCTTGGTGTCCCAAAGGTGCTTTTTCAGGAGGCAACTGGACTTTCTTGTTTTTCTTTGAAGACGTTTTGCTCCTCATCCAAGAAGCTTCTTCAGCTCTGACTGGACGGTGGGGAATGGAAGGAAGCATCTTTGGGACAACCATAATGTCATGGTTCCAACAGATGAAACTCTTCAAAAGAACTTCGAGGCATTGTTTACCTTAAAGAATCTTTTATTCGAGTAGCATAATATCGGCAGTACATAATTGAAGCCAAAAACTGAATTCCCCTCCCCTGGGCACATAGTATCAAAGCACAATTCTCTCCTCCAATTAACGTTCATAAATCACATTCCCCAATTAGCTTGAAGTGCAGGCTCCCTCTCCAGTTCTCCAGCCTGCCAATTCTTTATCAGCTCTGGGCTCAATAACCTTGATTCTCACGCTAAGTTTAGTGTTGTTATGTCTACCTAGACTCTCATTCACATCCCCACCCCTCCCAGCATCATCTAACTCTAAAAGCAAAAGGGAAAATGATGGCTACATTTCCATCTGTTGTCAATGCAAAACATCCGATGTTAGCAGCGTTGACACATGACCTGGATGACTGAGAACCTCCATAGACATATAGCTTGGTGATTAACAAAGACCTTCTCTTGGCCCTATGTTGCAAAGGACACCTATTGATGGACCATGGCTTCCTTGATTGTTGTTCTAAGGAACATGAGTTGGTGGAAGTGGAGAGGCAGATATTTAACATACAATTGGTGCCTAATGCAGTAATGAAGACTTGTATTCTGACAAAGGTGGAAGATTAAAATCAGGGAGATGTGATGATCCACCAAACGCTGGTGATGCATTATGCAGAAAAGCTCATTCAGCAACATTCCTCTGTCTCACAATGTTGGAGGAAACCTTGGAGGACATTTGGTACAAGCCTCTTCTCAAGGCAGGTTTGACTAGAGCATGTCTGGTAGAGGATATCCAGTCTCTATTTGAAGAACATCTAATGAGGGACAATCTGCCACTTCATCTGGCAGCCTCTCCCACTGGCTGGCATCTCAAACAATCCATAAATTTATCATTGATGTATTTATTTCATCAATTTATATAGCTGCCCATCTCAACATGAGACAGCAGTGTGCTGCAGCTGCCAAAAAAGTCAACATGGTACTAGGCCGCGTTAACAGAAGGATAGAAACAAGATCACGTGAAGTGTTAATACCATTTTACAATGCCTTGGTAAGGCCACACTTGCAAGATGGCATCCAGTTTTGCTCACCACGATGTAAAAAAGATATTGAAACTCTCGAAAGAGTGCAGAGAAGAACAACTGGATGATCAGGGGACTGGAGGCTAAAACATATAAAGAGCAGTTGCTGGAATTGGGTATGTCTAGTTTAATGAAGAGAAGGACTAGGGGTGACATGACAGCAGTGTTCCAATATCTCAGGGGCTGCCACAAAGAAGAGGGAGTCAAGCTCTTCTCCAAAGCCCCTGAATGCAGGACAAGAAGCAACGGATGGAAACTCATCAAAGAAAGAAGCAACCTAGAACTAAGGAGAAACATCCTGAGGTAGAACAATTAACCATTGGAACAACCTGCCTCCAGAAGCTGTGAATGCTCCAATACTGAAAGTTTTTAAGAAGAGACTGGACAGCCATTTGTTTGTAATGGTGTATGGTTTCCTGCCTGAGCAGGGGGTTGGACTAGAAGACCTCCAAAGTCCCTTCCAACTCTATTATTATTATTATTATTATTATTATTATTATTATTATTATTATTATTATTATTATTATTATTATTATTATTATTACTATTACATGTGACTCTGGGCAGTGAACAGTATTAATAAATAAAACAATAACAGTCACTAAAATTAAAACTTCAGGAAAAAGCTGAGAGATACAACTGTCATTAATGAATACATCCAGGAGACGGGCGTCTTCACACATTTGGGAGGCCCCAAGTCTGGCCACAGAACTAAGCCTTTGTGGCCTTGGGAAAAGGAACAGAGTCAGGGTAAACCTAATCAACGGAGGGAGAATATTCCAGAAGGCAGGTTCTACAACAGAAAAGTTCTTTCTAATGTCCAGCTTAGACCTTCTTCCTTATGCTGTTAGTTCTGGTCCTGCTTAAGAAAGAAGGGGAGAACCAGCAGCTATTAAGTGAGTTTTGCCCCATTTTACAACTTTTCTTGCCATAGTTGTTAAGTGAATCACTGCAGTTGTTAAGTTAGTAACACGGTTAAGTGGCTTCTCCATTGACTTTCCTTGTCAGAAGGTTTCAAAAGATGATCACATGACCCCGGGACACAGCAACCGTCCTAAATATGAGCCAGTTGCCAAGAGTCTGAATTTTGATCACGTGACCATGGGGATAATTAGAATATTTTGGACATGTGATGTGACAACCAGAAAAATACAGCACACTCCATTTAATCCTCCAGCGAAAGATTGAAGGCAAACGAGGTCCAGGCAGAAGAAGAACATTGTGGCTTCAAAATCTAAGGGACTGGTTTGGACAAAACTCAGCAGCACTTTTTCGTGCGGCTGCTGATAAAAACAGGATCGCCAACATGATCGCCAACATCCGATAACGGATATGGCACAAGAAGAAGGGGATGCTGCAACGGTCCTAAGTGTGGAAACTGATCATAAGTCATTTTTTTCAGTGCTATTGTAACTTCGAACAGTCACTAAAGATTGAGGACTACCTGTATTGAAGACTAATACTTTTAAAACAACTCCTAAATGTATATTCATAATCTAATTTCTTTGGTTAGCCTTCAGGTTTTAATTCTGAAACTTCCTCTGCTTTTAACATCTTTACATCTCAACATACAACAGTTAACATTTCTAGACTGTTTATGTTTTGCCCCACAACACTTAGACTTTTTGTGTGTTTACCATGTCTCATATAAATGTATCAGATATGTATTGGAATGATAATTGCATTAGATAATTACACAGAACTGTAACTATTTACTGTTAAAATATATTGTACTTTTTTTTCCTTTTGTTGTGTTTGATTTCACTTTTTTCCCCTTTACTTTGATGATCTATGGATTTTTACTTTTGTGGATTTTTTTTTTCATTTCTTTTTCAATGCTATGTTGTTGAGTTGTCAAATTCCAAATGCTAAGTATATATTTCCAAAGGATGTTATCGTCTGAAAATTTTAGTTTTTGATGCAAACTCACGTTTATAGTCTATTGCTTTCTCCTAAAGTAAGTAATGGGCGTTATTAAGACATGTGTTTTAAAGAAGTATTATCCTTATTATATCTCCAACAAAGCCTGTTCTATACAAGCATAATGGGGTCCAATAAATTCTAAATATTATCTTTTGTTGTACAACCCATACACCATGGTCCTCTGGCACTTCTGATATAGAAGTAAAAACAGTCTCAGATTTTCTAGGTGATACAGGCACCTCTAATTTCCCCCCCTTCATTTCATAGCATCTGCGAATCAAACTTATTTATTAATAATAAGTATTTATAGAAACTAATAGTGCCTTTTAGTTTTAAAAGATTTAACAAGTTGCTCTAGTATCTTGGATGTCTCAGAAGCTGAAAATGTATGGATCCAATGTTGCTAGCAAATACTTCAATTGTAAATATTGCCATTGTGTTGTATCTGATAGATGATCTTTGTCCCTTGACAAAGAATATGATAAAAATGTACATTAACCTATCAGTTGATCCAAGGTCAATATCCCCACTTCCATCTAATTTTTTTCCATATCATCATCTTTCCCCCAATTTTTAAACTTGGGTTTCCCCATAAAATCAATTTAGCATGGGAAAAAGGGTCAAACCTTTTAAAATTAGCTTTCTAACTGGTGCTCTTTAGATGCAGTATTCCAGGTGTGGTCTTACTAAGGATTTATAAAGTGGTACTAATACTTCACGTGATTTTGATTCTGTTTATAAAACCCAGGATTGTATTAGCTTTTTTGGCTGCTGCCGCACACGGCTGGCTCATGTTTAAGTGATCATCCATTAGGACTCCATGATCCCCCTCACAGTTACTGTTTTTAAGCCAGGTTTCACCTAATCTATACTCATACCTTTGGTTTTTCCTGCCTAGGTATAAAACCTTGCTTTTCTCCACATTAAATTTTATGTTGTTGGATGGGGCCCATTGTTCAAGTCGGTCAAGATCTTTTTGGATTCTGAGCTTGTCTTTG